ACCCACGCTGGAGCAGTCTGCTCCTGAAGGACTGCACCCCATGGAAGGGACCCACGCTGGAGCAGTTCATGAAGAACTGCAGCCCAGGGGAAGGACTGAGGTTGGAGCAGCTTGTGGAGGACTGTCTGCCATGGGAGGAACCCCAGGCTGGAGCAGGGGAGGAGTGTGACGAGTCCTCCCCTGAGGAGGAAGAAGCAGCAGAGACAGTGTGTGATGAACTGACCCCAACCCCCGTTCCCCGTCCCCCTGTGCTGCTGGGGGGAGGAGGTAGGTAAACTGGGAGTGAAGTTGAGCCTGGGAAGAAGAGAGGGGTGGGGGTAAGGTGTTTTTAAGATTTGGTTTTATTTCTCATTATCCTACTCTGATTTGATTGGTAATAAATTAAACTAATTTCCCCAAGCCGAGTCTGTTTTGCCCATGGCGGGAATTGGGTAAGGATCTCTCCCTGGCCTTTTCCCCATCCCACGAGCCTTTTGTTCTCTTTTCTCTCCCCTGTCCAGCTGAGGAAGGGAGTGATAGAGCGGCTTTGGTGGGCACCTGGCGTCCACCCAGGGTCAACCCACCACACCACTGTAAACTCTGACCGGGACCACATGCACGTCAATGCAAAGGCAATGTGGTAAGGTAAAGTGTTGCAAGTCCTCCTACAAGTGTTTGCAAATCCAGCAAAGCCAATGCAAGGAACCGTGAGCTGACCCAAGCACCAGCGCTGCAGAATCGGCTGGAAAGGAGGAACCCAGGATGGAGACGGTGCTCTGCATAGAAGCAATTGCTGCTGCGTACACCGAGCTTGGAAAATCACTCAGAAATCTAAAGCGAAAGCTGTTTCCTATTCCTGACATAACCTACGGTTACAGGTGCCAGGAATGATCACAGATCACTCTAGGAAATAGAGTTATTTCGTGATTCTGCAAAGAGTGACTGCAGATTTATCACCCACTTTGGAGAGAGGGTGGTCTACTCAAGAAGTAAGGAAAAAAAAAAGTCTCCTGTAAAATGTGATGCATCCATCCACCTTTGCTTCCTTCCTCCCTTTGTCGATCATCCTCTCAAAAATGACATAAATCATCACAGTCCCACTGACATGCATCGGCTGGAAAACTTCAAAGAATCACAGAATCATAGAATATCTCAAGTCGGAAGGGACCCATAAGGATCATTGAGTCCAACTCCCTGCTCCTCGCAGGACTACCTAAAACTAAACCATATGACTAAGAGCATCCAGACACTCCTTGAACTCTGACAGGCTATTGTATATCATATACGTAACTTGACTATGAAGGTTTAGGTTAGACCTGTTTAAAAACTCTACCAGGAAGGTGTTCAGCACTTGAACAGGTTTCTTGGAAAGGAGGCAATCCACCACTGGAGAACCTTAGACAAGCATCTTGCTGATGCTGCGGCAGGGCGGAGAAAGGGCCAGGCGACCTCCCCAGGCCCTCTGGCATTGTGCGTTGACAGGGCTTAGGTAAGCCTGCCGGAGTTAATGTTTAGTGTGAGACTGAAACTGGGAGCATTTTGCTGCGCAAAAAAAAGGACGGAGCGCAGGGTGCTCTTAGCTTGTATGAAAAAGCTTCCATGTATGTTCCTACAAGCACTGGTTATGTTTCTCATTGCTTCCTCAGTCAGCAAGGCAAACGGGGGGTTTATCACCACTCAGGACCAGCAGCTGGTGTTGTACAACGTGCTCCCTGCCACCAACACCTTAAGAGATGCTCCTGCCTTCATTGAACACTGCCAGAGATCAGTGCATGACTCTGGACAGGGGGACTACGACAAAGCAAAGGACTAAAAATTAAATGTGATCTTTTCTGTCTCTGCTTCCTGCTCTCTGCCTCAAGAACATCTACAACATGGTTTTTCCACAAATAAAAAAACTTAAAATCTCAAAAGTTCAGTTCCAACAGAAAGCACAGGTGAGTTCTCAGCCTGCCACCTCCCACACGCAGAAATGCTCCGGTGGTGTAAGTGATGGCAAACTTTACCCCTGTGCGCAGCCACGCGTCATTGCCAGCGCTCATCTGAGCCACCAAAATGTCTAAAAGGAAAAAAATTCTTAAGGTATTATGGGCACCACTGGAAAGAGCCTGGCTCCGGCCTCTTTGCACCCTCCCTTTGGGTATACATTAATATCTCCCTGAGCCTCCTCTTCTCCGGGCTGAGCAGTCCCAGCTCGCTCAGGCTTTCCTCATAGCAGAGATGCTCCTGCCCCTGCAGCATCTTTGTGGCCCTTGGCTGGACTCTCTCCAGTCTGTCCATGTCTCTCATACTGGAGAACCCAGCACTGGACCCAGCACTCCAGCTGTGGCCTCTCCAGTGCTGAGCAGAGGGGAAGGATCATCTCTCTTGACCTGCTGGCCAGTCTCCTCCTGATGCAGCCCAGGACACCCGTGGCCACCTTTGCTCGTGATCAACTTGGTGCCCACCAGGACCTTCTCTGCCAAGCTGCTTTCCAGGCGGGTGGCCCCAGCCCGTGCTGGTGCCTGGGCTTGTTCCTCCCCAGGGGCAGGACCTGGCACTTGCGGAAC